TTGGGTAGACAGGGTTAGACCTATATATTATATACCAAACGGCACTTGATGGTTGATGTGGTCGTACTAGACCGGCTGCCTTTACTTCCCAGGACTGCACCTGGTACCCACTAAAAACTGGGACGACCGGGAAGCCAAGGTCATTTTTTTTTAAAGTCTGGCTCCCGTCAGGAACAGAAGCCACGACCTTCCGATTCGCAGGCGAGCGTCTAGCCACTAGACCACAACGGCTTCCTTATCTTTATCTGTATAGACTTATATATTTGTATGTGTCCTGCAAATGAATTTCTTTATGTGTTTCTGTATTTTTTCATTACAATCAAAACGTAAGCATTTTTTTTGTTTTTTGTTTTGGATATCAATGATTTAATTCATTATTGAAAATGATCTTCTTGTGTATTCTTTCCTCTATATATAGGGTGCATGCTTGCAGGTAGTGGTCTTCTGTGTTTTTCTTAAAGCAGTCTAAGCATACGGGTGCTGTAAATGTGGCTTTCCGGTATCGAAGTTTTAATCTTCATAACTTGTTGTTTGCTGGAATTTGTAGGTTGTCTGGGACTTGTGATGTCAGTGCAGATTCTCTTAAAAAATCGCACGATCTTCTGCATGTAGCACTCATTTCCCACTGTCTCTTCCACATCCCTGCAACATACCGTCTAATTTGACCTTTTTTCCCTCAGTTTTTCTTGGCCTGTTTCTATTATGTTATGGCTGCTGGTACCTCTGTTTGCAAAAAATGTCTTTCATTACCGACTATGCCTTTATGCGCTGGAATCCATGGTATGGTGATCTGGCATTCGTTGTTCGGAAGTTGTGTTGTTAGTATTAATATCTCCTCTTTAATATCTGACATACTTACCTTTGTATAGTTTCCTAGTCATTGTGCCGATGAAAGACAACCTGTCATCGTCATTGTCATCATCATCAATTTGAATTGGCCAAGTTCAACTGCTACCTAGTGAGCTAGCCTCTCCTAGATCTCTATCTCTCTCTCTCTCTCTCTCTCTCTCTCTCTCTCTCTCTCTCTCTCTCTCCCTCTCTCCTCTTTATTTCGCTGTTGACACATAAGGCATCCACAAGTGATCTCCACTGCTGCCGGTCTGCTGCTTTCCTGCCTATGGTATCCCATGTCAGTTTACATTCCTTCATTTCCCCTTTCTATTGTCCTTTTCCAGGTTTCCTTAGGTCGTCCATGTCTCCTTTTCCCATCTGCTGTCCACCGGAGAGCTATTTTTGCCAAGGCATTCTGCAAACATGTCCAAGTAATCTCCATCGTCTTACTTTGATAACATTTGCCAGTGATGCACATTCTGTTTTCCTTATCAGTTCTTCATCTGTGATCTTTATTCGTAGAATTCTCCTTAAACATTTATTTTCAAAAGTCTCAAGTTCATGTAATTCCCGCTGTCATTTTCCAACATTCACTGTTGTATAATAGTATTCCTAAAATGTTGCTCTTGTCTTTAATCCAAATCCCTTTGACTTCCATAGATTGTTAAGCACGGCAAATGCTTGATTTGCTTTTGTTTATTCTTGATGTTACATCCTTTTCAGAATCTCCATCTGGAGTAACTTTACTTCTGAGGTATATACATTCTTCAATTTTTTCTATTGCGTCATCTCCTAGATAGTATTAGTTATAATTATGGCTCTAGTTCATACTGTTTTTATTATTATGTGTTACTTAGTGTTGGTAGTTCTAGTCTCCCATTTCTTCAGGATCAAAGTCGCATTCTGCACTGGACTTTCTACATGACTCTAATTTTGATGAGTATGATGATGCTGATTCATTTAAACACTATGAGTTTTAAACAACGAAACAACCCCCCCCCCACCCCCCACCCCCCCCCCCCCCCCCCCAAACCACCCCTCTCTCTTTTTCAAAACTGCAAAATTTCTGTTCTGGTACATGACGAGGTCGCATGACATGCTCATTGTCCTTCATTTTGAATATTATTATTACCTTTCACCGAGCAAGAGTTCGTGGTGTTATCATATTATGCTGAAAAGTGCAAATAAACAAGCATGCCAACCTGCAGCGTCCGTGGAAACAGGACCCTTGAATGATGTAATTGTTCTGTACGGGTATGTCCTTGTGTGCACAAAAAACCTTATTTAGGAAACAGAACTCACAGCATGGGAAGTTAGGGAGCAGTTTCGTGCAGAAAAATTGACAGGCAACGAACACAATTCTCTCTCTCTCTCTCTCTCTCTCTCTCTCTCTCTCTCTCTCTCTCTCTCTCTCTCTCTCTCTCTCTCTCCCCCCCCCCCACCCATTTCCCTGTATGTGTATGTGTGTCTGCCATTATCGCTCGTTCTCCACATGTCTATCTCGACCTATCTCTTTCTCATTCACTTTATTTTCATGTACATGTGTGTAAGTTTATATGTGTGTGTGTGTGTTTGCGTCCCTTTGTATGTATTTTCGCATGTATGTATGTGTGTGTGTGTGTGTGTGAATGTACGTATGTACATATGCATGTATGTACTATGCACCATGCATGTACGTATGCATATACGTATTATGAACGTATGTGATTACAACTGTTGTGTGAAAGATCTGTGTTTGGATTTTACCTGTTGTGTGAAAGATCTGTGTTTGGATTACAACTGTTGTGTGAAAGAGGTGTGTTTAGAATGCTTCTTAATATATTTCCATCTTTCCAGACGATAGTGTTATACTTTGCTGCAGGGAGGGATAACACCACGTCTGGGCAATTTTGTAAAGACCAGGTGTTGCCTGCTGCAGCATGATCCCTCTTTCAGTGTGCTGTGTTTGTTCCACAGAAAAGGCAAGCCTACACTTGAAACAAAACATGCTGCAAAAGCTGCCGGATCATAAGGGTAATGCTCCGTCTGCCCGCCTGTTGAAGCTTCCCATCTATACCAGCTGCCACTCACGGCTGAGAGCCTGTCATAACGTTAGGTTTCTTCTTCTTCTTCGCGTTCACCGGCTATAAATTCCGGCGGAAAGTTATGGTTGTTCGTCCAATTCTGGACTGCAGTCCTGTTCCAGAACCTGAGTGTTGCGTGTGCATCCGTTTGACAGATCTGTATGCAGTCTGTTGGTTCCTTGCCTCTCAGGCAGATGCACTCCGACTTCGAAGGAAGCTCCCAATTAGTCGACTCTTACGACATGCTTTTGGGTAGGCAGTGGGTCTATTCTTGTTTTTCACATAGTAGGGCCCCGGAACCCACATGGGGGATAACGTTAGGTTTTTAGGTTACATATCCTCTTCCTAGGATGATAATTAATGGTTTAAACCAGGACATTTTTTTTTTCTGGCACTAATCAACTGTAGTAAGTACAGGCATCTATTTTTAAGCATTATTTTGTTTTTAGCAGTACTATATTAGACAGTATATAGTCGCTCATAAGCTCGTCAGCTCGGGATAGTATTTAGGTCTGTCTCCTTTGATGGCATCAACACTGCAGGAGTTCTTTTCATGGCTTTTGGTGGCGTGCAATGCTAAGCCGTTTTATTTGGCGCACATATTATAGTCACAATTATAACCTGAAGTTCCCCCTTCGGGAATGCAGGTTGAACGTCACGATTTTTTTTTATATCAAAGCACCTCACTACCGGCATACTTTTTGTTGAGTATCGACATTTTTTTTTTTTTTTAGAAATAAGTCCTGGTTTAAACAAACACTATATGCTAGACCACGTTCTTCCTATTATGCTGTGTATTTTGAAGGATCATTATAGACCGATTCTCATAAAGCATATTTGTCAGGAGCTTGTATACAGACAAGGTCCTCCATTTTTGCTATACAGCCGTGAGCGGAATTTTCGCGACTTTTTCATAGTTATTCCTGCGCCTGTGCCATTGTAACATGTTCTGTATCACTGAGCTATATATTTGAAATAGTGTGAAATACGTGAATAAATACTTAAACTGGTGCGGTGCGGGAGAGGGGGGGGGGGGATGTAGCCTCAGTGGGCCTGAGTTTCCAGGTTCGGCACCTATTAAATAAAGAAAAAAAAAAAGGGGGTGAGGGGGCCTATTTGTAATGTCCTGAATAGCAAGTGAATCGAGTAAATATTGTGTTTGAAGGAAGATGAAACGTATAAATATTTGTAAATAGAACTTCTAAGCATGGTTGGGGGAAGGTGTGTGGTCATTTTTTTGTTAGGTGGGCTATTGGTAGAGGAGGGTGTGTAGGGGCCTGACAACGCAGCTTGACAACAGAACAATGCTTATCTCTTGATGTTCATAAAATCCGCAGCTCACAGTGTTACGCCATGTACTCAACTCGATAGCTGGATGACGGAGCTATATACTTTCCGTTTCACATATACGGGAAACGCAAAGGCCAGTAGAAGCTAGAAACAAATAACTTGCCAAAAGTAAAAACCGTACGCTGCCTACCTGTCATATTGTACCAGATGCATGAAGTCAGTTAAGTTTTTTTCCCCAAGTCTCCTCTCTCTCTATCTCTCTCTCTCTATCTCTCTCTTACTCTCTCCATCCCTTCCCCCACCCCAACCCCTTATGGTTGCAGTCTTTAGGATTAACACATTAAGGATGCAAATCAAGCAGGTAACAATCCGAGAAACCCCGTTCTGCAGTGAGTTATTATGAGCCTCACAAAACGTGTAGTCCAGTGTGAGTGGGCTTTTGTTCTTAAAGGCAACTTAATTCATTAACGGTACCAGGATCGACCTTATCCTGCCAGGTGTTCCTCCCCTCCCCACCCCAGATGCCCTGCATATCTCAGCAGAGAGGGTAGCGCATTGACTAGAGGCAGGCTTGTTTGGCCAAAAAGTCTTGGTTCGTATTTTTTAAGTAATTAATCTATGCTACGACGTGGAGCCAGCCTAAGAAAGGTACCTGAAACTGTGATGGAAAGTAACAGTCCAGCATAATGCTGACTATATAACCTATCAATTACCGACTGGTTTATATTGGTCTAGTTACGGATGAGTGAAAGAAACCCTTCACTTGATCTCATTTGATGTGATTTTACATTAATTCCTTTACTTATTTTTCGCCAGAAGACCCCAGAATGGCTGATGCTGACTTACCACTGGTGGATAAGAGAGAGATATCCGGTGCCGATCCATGGTCCTTATGTCCGAACAATATGGAGAGAGTAAGTATATAAACTTATAAATATATAATAACTCAACGGGACATGAATGGTACAGGTATTGATTCCGTGGAAGCAAGATACTAAGAGTTGAACTGAAGGAGTACATCGCGAAAAGTGTGGGATAACGGGGGAAATTATTGCAGAACGTGTTTGATTTGAGCGTTTATGAAAACGCAAGTTCAATACATTCCATGGCAACAATGGTCTTGAAATTCAATGCTCAAAATGCGGTTGATGTTTCGGGTTTTCTTAACATCGACGACCGGTTCGCCTATTGGCGGGCCGGTACACGACTTCGTCGTCGGTAGGGGCAGTATTTGGGTCAGTCGCTCTTGATCGCATCAATACTGCCAATGTCCTTTTTCATGGCTACTTTGTGGCGAGCACTGCTAAATAATTTCATATGGCGCAAACGACAATTATAACCAAAAGCTCCACCCTTGGGGGATGAAGGTGGAATATGACAATTTTTGGTCGCAAAGCAACTCAGGTCAAAAGCGGGTCTTGTTAGTCACATTAGCTATCTACATGGGCTGTGGTTTTCTTGCCTGCCTATAGCAGAACAATATCGTCTAGAAAGACGGAAAGAGGACAACAATGCTAACATAAAACAATTGTTTAACATGGGAATGAATGTTCTAAATGGCGCTGGAGCCAAGGATTAAAAAAAAAATAATATTACTTTGCCTGATGCCAAAAAAATATAGCAATGTATTTGAAATAATATGTAATGTAAAAATACTTTTTCTAGAGAGTGTTTATATATGGATACATTTTACTATTTAGCTCTCTTTAAAAATGTTGGGTGGTAGCTCGGGCCTTAGCCTCCCATTCCTGCATATTTTTCGATGTGGGTGTGGGCGAACAGAGGGTCTGACTGACGTTCAACCCCACCAGGACATCATACCGAGCGACAAACACAGAGTGACACAAAGTGCTACCTCTCGGATGAGGATCAGCCGGCGACCAAAAGGCCTTTCAACCCATAGGGAGACACTGAAAGAGAGGTTTTTAGAAATATAGCTGGCTTTGGTGCTAATGACAGCATTAACCATCTAACAAAAAGGGACCAGGCCACCATCTTCAGACTTAGAACACAACATTATCCACTCAGTGGACATCTAAACATAATACAGCCACAACACTCCCCCGAGTGCCTGCTATGTAACTACCCCTACAGAACTGTTGAACAGCATCTCTTTGAGTGTCTAAAACTCAGCGAGACTAGAAGAATGCTACTCCCTTCCAGATAAGTAGAACACCTTGTACGGAGCAAAGGAACAGCTTGTGAAAACATGCAAATTCCACTACATGGCATTGGGTCAAAGGGCGAAAGCTCGTGCGCCGCTGGATCGATAACAACAACAACAACCCAATGGGTTATATTAAAACCTTTAGCAACAGCCAGGGTGGGGCTTTAGAACAACAACAAAGCCGCGTTCGACATTGGGACACAGTAGTAAGTAATAGAGGGTCGAGACTCGCGGGCTCCGGTGCAAAAGATTGTTGTCAATAATCTGAGGGCCTAAATTACAAGGAGAAATTAGGGCTACCTTACAGTAATCTTTTTATAGTACTTGCAACAATCTGTAATTCATTAATGATTGAAGAATTAAAAAAAAAATGATAAATACACAATTAAATAATAGAGATTGAATAATGCGTATGTATTAAAATCAAATTTGAAACTGAGAGAAGGGAGGCAATTGGACAGTACTGTGCTGCGATGAACAGAATGAATGCTGTACCCTGGCTACCTTTAAAATAATCATGTAACAGTGACCAAGTTCCTTTTCGCCTTTACGTCTTAGAACATTACCCGGTACCCATTCTAGGCTGAGTCGACCTGGGAATCATGGTCAATTTGTGGAGGGAAAAAAATCACCTAGATACAGATTTGAACTCTTTTACCTCAGAGCAGAAAGACGAGCCGTCTAGCGAATTATATGGATTATACAATTTGTGTAACGGCATTTCCTTTCACTAAATAAACTGTAAAAAAATTACCAGTTTACAAACATAGATTTCGCCAAGCGACTACAATGTGAAGCTGTTTAATAGTGTGCGTAAAAGCATTTTCAGACTCACGGTATGAAATGCGTAGCTCCCAAATAGTTAAAGTCGATTGCAACGACTTCATTGCACCGGTTTTGATCCCACATGGCTCGATCTCTCTCCGCAGAACGGCTAGCCATCTGCCGGAGCATCAGCTCCGTAGCTCCGGGATGATCCGCTTTGGTGAAAGAGACAGAGCTATATGGGATAGCCCAGTGCAATGAAATCGATGCTATTGACTTTAGCTTTTAATTTCATGGAAATACCACTCAGTAATAACATTTCTTCTTCTTCTTCTTCTTCTTCTTCTTCTTCTTCTTCTTCTTCTTCTTCTTCTTCTTCTTCTTCTTCTTCTTCTTCTTCTTCTTCTTCTTCTTCTTCTTCTCCTTCTTCTTCTTCTTCTTGTTCACCGGTTGTGAATTCCGGCGTATAGTCCCGGTTGTTCGACTTTTGGCTTAAACCTGGACCTGAGTTTTGCGTGGTCATCTGTTTTACTGGCTTATTTGTGTGTTGTTCCCGTTCCCCTGCCTTCTTCTTACGTCAACTTCTTCAATATTTCTTATTTCTTCTTCTTTAAAACCTGTGCAAAGTGAAGAAATTACACACTCAAACCAACCACTACTGGACTACAGGTAACTTCAGAAATGTTGGGTGATGCCCCTAGTAGACCTGTGCTATATGGTTTCTTCTTCGGATTTCGTACCTGTTTCTTCTCATCTTGTGATGTTAAATTCTAGGGAAAAGGGTGGGGGGTGGGGGGGGGGAGGAGGAATGGTTGAGTCTTCTGTCTTCTATAAATTTTTATGGCTTTCAGACTGTCGTCTCGAACCATGGAAGAGATTGCCATCTCAATACGTAATATTTCTTCTTACTTATCATACTTCTAACTTTCTCCCTGTGTAGAAGAAACCATTTTCTTATTGCATTTTAGCACATTTTTCTTTTTTGTTGTGGAAATTAAGTTTCTTACAAATTTCTGTTAAGCAAACAGATGTCTTCTAATCAACAAAACCACAGATGAGTAAAAATTAAAACATGCTGAGATGAATAACAATAATGCCTGTGAATTCCGACATCAGCACAGGCAAAAACAATGGCATGTGCTTGTTCGACTTTTCGGCAGCAGGATTCAAAGTGAATGGACCTGAGCTGTTTTGCCAGAGATTAAACCCTACACAAGATAGTACAGCAACTGCAACACACTGGGAAGATACTGAAGATATTATCTGAGCTGACCTGTCCAATGGGGGTCAATTAACTAACCAAGTTTATAAAAGGGGGGGGGGGGGGACTGGACTTTGCCATCTACTGTTAGCTACAATGATAACATTAACCAATAAAACATCATATAATGAGTGCATTCCAATCTGTAACTTTTTCCTTTTTTTAATGGTGAGTGTAACAGAAAACTTTTGTTGTCTTGTGTTTGAAGTTTCAAAATATATATAAATTTTTATGGCTTTCAGACTTTCGTACGAGAGTCGAACCATGGAAGAGATTGCCATCTCAATACGTAATATTAAAATATTACTTACTTATAAGTCATACTTTCACTAACTTAATCTCCCTTGTGTAGAAGAAACCATTTTCTTATGTGCATTTTAAGCAACATTTAGTTACTTTATTTAACAGGTTGATTGCTTTTTTGAGTATCTTCGAGTGTACGCCAGACTTCGGAAAGCCACGTCAGGGTCAAACAGTGTGTCCGTTCGAAACATTGGCAAGCGATCACGTTTCACATCTACTACAGCTTCAGATGTTTGTCACGACGACCCAAGCTCCGGTCTTTGTCTTCTTCAGAGCCTTTTGGACGACCTATTGAAGGATGACACATAAATCAGAAGACAACCCGTTGAAACCGATGCCTCTAGATGATCATGTTGACTAACCAATGCCATTTGCTGTTGAGAGCACCAAAGAGGGAGACAATCCACGAAGGACTTTATCTGCAGTGAAAAATATTACCCTTGATAAACGAAGTTAACTACTACTTCATTCGCACCACCAACTCATAAAATGTTGAAATAAATGTTATGAAATATATTTCAACGTTGGTTGTTCACTTGTTTAATGCGTGAAATCCTATAATTTAAGTCCATGATGTGTGTTGTTGGAAATCACGTCCGTCAACAGATTTTTGAACGTGTGTTGACCATATTTTCTTATAAAAGTGTTTTTCTATGCCCTCATATCATACCCAGAGGCGTGCCTAGGATGTGCCAGGACGAACATATGTCTTGTTTGCCACTTAAGGGGACGCCCTAAAAAAACTCACTGTTTGTTTTTCAAAGGCAGTGTCTCATCTGGAAGGATTAAATAAGGTTTCAGTTTACTTTAAGAAGGCTAGAATAGCGACATTCTTCACAAATAAAACAATTACTTCTGATCGGAGCCGCTTACAACCTTAATAATAAAATTAACAATTTGGGGTTCCGTATGTCAAAAGTCATAATTTCTGTAACAGTACACAGTATATTATTTCCTAATACGACAAAATATATATATATATATATATATATATATATATATATATATATATATATATATATATTTTTTTTTTTTTTATTATATATTGAGTATTTATACTAGGACAGTTTTGTTGGAACTCTATCGATCCATACCTGACAACAATATCATATCTCTAGAATTTGTAATAATACCCGTATTCTAAAATTACTAACTCAAAACCTATTCATAACAGTCTTAGAGTTTACACTGCGCAAATTACACACTTTGATTAATGCACATATTCCTTACGTCCTTCTTAGGACGTAATTTTTTGTTATTTGAAGCCCCATTCTGGCTTTTGCCAGGGGCCGCAATATAGGCAGGCCATCAATATGGCCAATTGTCTGAACGCGGTTTCTGGGACCTCTCCACGGTGATCCTCATCCGCATGGTGGCACTTTGTGTCATCGGGTGTTTATCGCTTGTGTGATGTCCTGGTGGGGTAGAAAGTCATCAGTCAGTCCCACTTTGATAGTATATAGCCCACCTAGTATTATTTCATATCCGTAGAACTTTATTTGCAAAGGCATTAAACAGGTTTGGTAACTTGGCACTACGAAGTCTTCAAAAGTCGCCCTAAAACTGAGCCATGAATAATGCAAATTACAAAAAAGTTCTGACTCTTCCCCCTTTCTCGTACTGGGCGCCAAATACACTGGGTACGGCCCTGGTGCTACATCTTCTGCCATGGTGTTCCAACGTGGATTTTTCTGCATCCGCCGCAAGCATTAGTTGCCTTTTTCTTTAATTTGTTTCACATCTTCATTGCGTTTTTGTTTTAAAAATCTGTTGTATGCTGTTCCCTCAAATTTTCTATAAACCACATCTCTTTATTATTATAATCATCATCATTATTATCCTCATCATCATCATGATCAAAATCATCGTCATCATCACACTAATGTGTCGTTATACGTCACATGGGAGTTCTTCGTTTATTCTTTCATTCCTTTGTCTCCTATGCAATTTTTTTTTCTATATGAGGGCGGAATCTAGTCCAACATCTTTGGCCTCTCTTATCAACATTCGAATTGGGTTTCTTTGCGACGTCCTGGTTTCCGCATTCCTGTTGTTTACCATTCAAGTGTCTCTGTGATGATTATCTGTTAGCTTGTCTACAGCTTCCACATAATGTCTCGCTAAACTGTTAGCTTGTCTACAGCTTCCATAAAATGTCTCGCTAATCTGTTAGCTCGTCTACAACTTCCACATAATGTCTCGCTAATCTGTTAGCTTGTCTACAGCTTCCATATAATGTCTCGCTAATCTGTTAGCTTGTCTACAGCTTCCATATTGTCTCGCTAACAGCTTGTCTACATCCATAATGTCTCGCTAATCTGTTAGCTTGTCTACAGCTTCCATATAATGTCTCGCTAATCTGTTAGCTTGTCTACAGCTTCCATATAATGTCTCGCTAATCTGTTAGCTTGTCTACAGCTTCCATAAATGTCTCGCTAATCTGTTAGCTTGTCTACGACTCACTTCCAAACACAAAGCAAGGTAGAGAGAGAGAGAGAGAGAGAGAGAGAGAGAGAGAGAGAGAGAGAGAGAGAGAGAGAGAGAGAGAGAGAGGGGGGGGGGGGTTCTGTATCGCTCTTGATATATGTTAAATAAATTGACTAGACACAGGCTATGACTGGACAATCAACGTAGGAAAAAAAAGGAGAAGTCTTTATCAGCAAATAAAACAAGAAAAAAAATTATAGGCAGCAGGCACCAAACATAAGGATCAGGTGAATTATTAATGAAGTATGACGAATGGGGGAGGCGCAGTGGCGAATGGCTAGACTCTCGCGGCGGATCGGAATGACTTGGGGGCGCTCCATGGCGAAATCTGACTTTTTTTTTCAAAAATGACCTTGGCTCCTAGGTCTATCCAGACTTGATTGTGTACAGGGTGCAGTCCCGGAAAGTAAAGGCGCCCCGTGTGATGTTGACCACATCACTCATCTTGTGCCTATTGGTATATAAAATATAGGTCTAGCCCTATATGCACTATAGCCTAAAAGCTTGGAAAAGGGTCCTTTACTTTTTTTTTTTTTACTGATGAACAGACATAAACAAAGGGGGAGGGGGAATAATAATAATAATAACGATAATGATAATAATGATAATAATGAGGCACATATTTAGGATGTCTTCCTCCTCTCCCCCCCCCCCCCCCCCCACCCCCATCTATATATTTTACGCCCTTTCCCTTAAGTAAACGTCAGCATCGATATTAGTGTGCAGACTACAAACTATAATTTGTGGAATTACTTACCTTAATTTGAAACTGTTTTAGAATTTTTAAACTTCAGTTTAGTCAGTCTTTTTTACTGCCAATTATATTTTCTAAATAACGTTTTCATAGCGATAAGTCAGAAGAAAAAACCTACATGGATTGATAGATTCAGTAGTAGCAGCAATGATAAAATGGGTGTCAGCTTAAATAAGGCATAGACACATTCTATAATAATAAGGATAACATAATATTAGGATCACAAAGGACAATGCCTAAATGCGCAATAAAACACAAGGGCGTTTTTTTTAGGACAAGTATAGAACTATAGCGTCGGGTCTGTGGCTAAGTCGAAGCGAACGCTTCGTAATGCCGAGATGCCGAGTTCGATCCCAGCTGCGGGCCATGCGCCATGCGTTGGTTTCGACAGTGGTATCAAGAAAGCAGACCGTCCGGAAAGAAATGGCAAACTACTGGACATAAATTTGCCTAGAAAAACCACACAACAGCCAGGAGTTGTTGAGGTTGGTTCTGCAACGTCCTGTTAAGGGTACGCAACCAACCTTATTATAGAACTGTAATTATCTATGCCCACGGATGAATCACAGAGATTAAAAACTGAAGGACAGGCTGAAACCGTATTTTGTAGAATGGAGCATATGTGAACTTAAATCCATGTCAATGAAGGTTGCGAAAAGAATGAACGCATGCTTGCTTTCCAGTTTTAAAAAATGGCTTTGAGTTCTGGACAATTAATTGACAAGACAAACAATTTCTTGAGTCCTCGGAGACGTGGAATTACAGAAGTGTATGGAATTTTCTGGACTGCCAAAAATGCGCAATCCAAATGTTTTGAAACAGGAGAGGACTCGAAGACAGCATAACACAATCATCAGAAAGAGACAGTTATCCTTGTCTGATCATGTTATGGGAAGAAGGAAACTGAAACATGCGGCGACCACTGGACAAATATGTGGAAACAGAAAAAGAAATAGACAAAGAGAAGTGATTCATGACAACCTATTGTTATGCCATGGAGGTGTGTCAGCACACGAACTAATACATGATGCTAAAGAGCTTGCAACTGCACGTCTTACTGTTGGGGTGACAGAAAAGTTTCTGCAACTGGTGCCACCAGACTTTGATACTTCACTACCTGTTTTGGTAATGTGCGTTTTCCATTTTTATCTTCCCATCTCTGATTCTGTCAACGAGTGTCAATCAGTATACGTTAACTGATTTGGTATTCTGCTTTACTGACCTCACGGGTTCCTCACATATTTCATTATATGTGGAATGCTTAAGTATTCTCAATGACAATGTTTGTTACCGTACACCCGATGACCTCAAAGCGTGGTAAATGATTCTTCCTTAACTGAATATATGATAAACTGATTTACTTAATGTGTATAAATACCGTATGCATCCTTCAAAGAGAAAGACATTAACTTTTTTTGGTGGAATATATGCCTTATAGACAATGCTGCCCGGCTCTCTAGCGAAGTTGGTTAAACCTGACTTTCGCGGCGGCCGGGTGACGAACTCCTTGTGGTCCGGGTTTACTAACGGGGATAGGCAAAAAAGCCACATTTCTCCCAGATTAACGGTACCTATAATGGAATCAATGCCGAAGGGTTGCGATATCCATAGTACCGAGCCAAAGGGTTTACAACTCATGGTTTCTGGATACGTAAAAAAAAAAAAATAGACAATGCTATTTGGACATTTTATTTGAAAGAATTCATATAGTGTCCCTTCTGTTTTAGACAGACAATAGATTAAAAACATTAAGAAAAATCACATAGATATCAGGCATAGAAACGCACCATATCAGCTCGCGTGGAATCATTGAATAAAAGGGCATTAAGCACTGCACTACTACATCTAAAAAAAAAATACTTTGTTAAATCCCTTACATGCACACAAGACTAACCGACTTATATTTGCATTTAGAGCATACATTAATACAGCCTGCGTTTTGTTGATCACATCACTAAACAAGTGTCGTGGTCAATAAAATATAGGTCTAGCCTTATTTGTGCAATAGGCCTGAGGGTGTGGAAAGGGTCCTTTCACATTATTAAACATTGGCATGCATTTACATAAA